GGAGACAGTGGTTGGTATAAGACATGAAAATAATAGTAATTTATCAAGGGTTCATGAGGGTGGAAGGGAGAGAGGGAAAAGGAGGAGCTGATACCAAGGGCTCAAATAGAAAGTAAATGTTTAGAAAATGATGGCAACATATGTACAAATATGCTTGATACAATTGTTATAAGAGCTGTAAGAGTTCCCATAAAATGATCTTAAAAATATATATATATATAAAAACTGGTCAACACAACCATTTTGAGATGCAGTATAGAACCAATGGTACTGAAGGAAGAACTTCCAAGCTGCATTGTAAGCATTATTGAAAAACAAGGCTCCAAGAATTGACAAAATACCAATGGAAAGATTTCAATAAGCTGATGAAGCACCGGAGGCATTCATTCATCTATACCAGTGGTTCTCAACCTTCCTAATGCTGCGACCCTTTAATACAGTTCCTCATGCTCTGGTGAACCGCCACCCCCACAACCATAAAATTATTTTTGTTGCTTCTTCATAACTGTAGTTTCTCTACTATTATGAATTGGGCGACCCCTGTGAAAGGATCATTTGACCCCCAAGGGGGTCACGACCCACAGGTTGAGAACTGCTGATCTATACCAAGAAATCTTGAAGACAGCGACCTGGCTAACCAACTGAAAGAGATCCATATTTGTACCCATTTCAAAGAAAGGTGACCCAACAGAATGTAGAAATTATTGAACAACATCATTTATATAGCATGCAAGTGAAGTTTTCAATATCATTCAACAGCAGCGATGGCAGTAACACATCCACAGGGAGCTGCCAAAAATCCAAGCAGGATTCCGAGGAAGGCATGGAACAAGGAATATTATTGCTAATGTCAGCTGGATCTTGGCTGAATGCAGACAATACAAAAAAGCTATTTACTTGTCTTTTAGTGACTGTATGAAGGGATTCGACTGTGTGGGTTGTAACAAACTATAGATAACATTGAGAAAAATGGGAATCCCAGAACCCCTCATTGTGCTCCTGGTTAATCTATATACATGGATCAAGAGGCAGTTGTTCGAACAGAACAAGGGAGGTCTGAATGGTTTCAAGTCAGGAAAAATATGCTAGGGTTGTATCCTTTCATCATACTCTCCAATTTATATGCTGAGTGGATGATCTGAGAAGCTGGACTACATGAAGAAAATTCAGCAATAGGATTAGTAACACCCTTTGATATGTAGATGACACAAGCTTGCTTGCTGAAAACTAAGAGGACGTGAAGCACTTACTGATGAATAGCAAAGAATGAAGGCTTTACCTATGTTACAACTCAGTTGTAGAAAACCAAAATCCTCACAACTGAACCAATAGATAACATCATGATAAAAAGAGAAAAAAACTGAAGTTGTCAAGGATTTCATCTTGCTTGAATCCCCAATAAACACTCATGAAAGTAGCAGTTAAGAGATCAAGAGACACACTGCAGTAAATCTTGCTGCACAAGACCTCTTTAAAGTGTTGAAAAGCAAGGACGTCACTTTGAATATTAAGTTGGGCCTGACCCAAGCTATGGTATTTACAGTAGCTTCATACACATGTGGGCTAAGGAAGAAAGAAGAAGAATCTATGCATTTGAATTACGTAAGGTTTTGGCAAAGAATACTGGAGGTACCAGGGACTGCCAGAGGAACAAACAAAACATCTGGCTTGGAAAAGGTATAAGCAAAATGCTCCTTGGAAGTGAGGATGGCGAGTCGTCATCTCACACACTTTGGACATGAGATCAGAAGAGACCAGTCCCTGGAGAAAGGTGTCATTGTGGGTAAAGTGAACGGCAACAAGACACAGTAGCTGCCACAATGGGCTCAAACATAACACTTGTGCGGGTGTTGTGGTTCTCGGCAGTGTTTTATTCTGTTGTGCATAGTCAGTTTCAGTGGGAACGGACTCATTTCCTGTTTCCCCGAAAATAAGACAGTACCTTATATTAATTTTTGCTCCCAAAGATGCGCTAGGTCTTATTTTCAGGGGATATCTTATTTTTCCATGAAGAAGAATATGGTACACATTTATTGTTGAACAACAAAAAAAGGAAATTTATTACCTATATATAGTATGGTAGTAGCTGTCATCACAAACCAGCATAACCAGACAAACTGTGTATCCTACAGTATCAAGAATTTCTTGTTACTACCATTATTTCCATGTACAACAATCTATGGTACATTTACTCATAATCTATGGTACATTTACTCGCACTTCCTGTCTGCTCCGGCTGTGCTGTGGCCACCATGGTCCAGAGTCCAGAGTTACGGTAGCTTCGGGGGGGTCTATTATTGGGGAAGTCTTATTTTGGGGGGATATCTTACTTTTAGGGAAACACGGTAGCAATAACAATAGCTAAGATATATAAAGGGTTCATGAGACATGAAAATAGCTGAAGTGACTGAATATAAGGATGAATGTTATATTTCTCTTTACATTAAGACTTTAAACAAGTTAAAGAAATTTCTAACCAAATAGCTCCTTGTCACTGTAGAGATTAAGTCCTTATGCCATAACGCTATTCAAATACTTTCACTAGCTGACTTCAACTTGTAATATTTATTCTTTGTCAGGCATCATGCTAGGTACTGGAGTACAGAAATGAACAGGGCCCAATTCTTCCCTTCAAGGAGCATTTAGTCTAATGCTAGTCATTTAGTCTAATTTGTTAGTCGATAAATTATTACAATGCAATTGCTCTTTTGCTAGCTATCTAACCCAATGGTTTTGAATTAGTATTTCCTCATCATCAATATAAAGGCAACAAGTCTTTCTTCTGGTTTCTGATGATTAGTAAATAAATGATAAGTACAAGGAGGCTTCAAAGTCTGTGGGAAAATGGAATTAAAAGATAATGTGGTTCCCCTAAACTTTCTGAAGCCCTCTCATAGAGACTGGCATAGATAAAGACTCAAGACTCACAAATTCCTTTCCTTCTATAGCAGTGGTTCTCAACCTTCCTAATGACGCGACCCTTTAATACAGTTGCTCATGTTGTGGTGACCCCCAACCATAACATTATTTTCATTGCTACTTCATGACTGTAATTTTGCTACTGTTATGAATCGGGTGACCCCTGTGAAGGGTCTTTCAACCCCCAAAGGGAGTTGCGACCCACAGGTTGAGAAATGCTGTTCTATAGGCTATCAGCTGCTTTTTGACAAGATGACAGACAGTACTGTCATACCCAAGGCCACCCAACGGATTCTGACTCAAGTACTTCCAAGGGTTTCTAAAGCTGTACATTTTCATGCGAGCGGATATAGCCTTATCTTCTTCCCATGGAGCAGCTACAGGGTTTAAACCACCAACCTTGTGATTAACAGGCCAACACCTACTTGACAGCATCACCAGGACTCCTTACCGGTACTGTACTATATTCTCATTACCATGGAGTCATGCCAACTCACGGCGACCCTATAGGGCAGGGAAAACGGCCCCTGTGAGTTTCTGAGACTGCAACTCTTTATAAGAGCTGTTTTTCCCCACACAGAATAATTCTCTTCCCACGCAACTCCCACCTCTACAATGTCTGCTCTCTCACTCAGTCTCTTCCGTAACTGCTCCTGAATCTTGACAGTGGCACTTCCCTTCCCCCTTCCAATCAATCCTGCCTCATAGACAGCAGCACAGGAGGGCCACTTTCATTACAGCAGAGGCACCCAAAGCTATCAGGTATCTGCTCCACTGCATGCCATTAGAGGTCCATTGAAAGCCTGATGTTGTGGAAGGTGAGCTAGAGTCGATAACCATAGTTCAAATCCCACTTCTACCACTTAATCACCAAATGTCCTCTGGCACAGACACAACCTGGGGTGCTTCAGATTAGCCATGTCTCCAAAGAGGGCAATGTCATTTACTGTTCTGGGTAATTAGAGTTCTTCCTACATACCATTTCCCTAAAAGTAAGACATCCCCCCTACTTAAACAGTTTTGCCTCTCGCTGAAATACAAGGCATCCCTCCTGAAAATAAGGGTTTGGATTGTTATGATGTTCCAGAAGATGAGGACATGACTGTCATTGAATAAATGAGTAAATGTACCACAGATTGTTGTACATGGAACTAATGGTAGTAACAAGAAATTCTTGATATTGTAGGATTCAGTTTGTCTGGTTATGCTGGTTTGTGATGACAACTACTACCGTACTGTACACAGGTAATAAATTTCCTTTTTGTTGTTGTTCAACAATGTTTACCGTATTCTTCTTCATGGAAAAAGAAGATATCCCCTGAAAATAAGACCTAGCGCATCTTTGGGAGCAAAAATTAACATTCGGCATTGTCTTATATTCAGGGAAACAGGGTACCAGGTGCTCTTTGAACATGTGCATTCCTTGCACATATTACAATCGTTCCATATTAACAAAACCTCCAGGATGTGGAAGAGATCGTCTCCCGCACGTGACAGAAGGAAACAGACACAAATCGTGTAAGTAATGTGCCGACAATCACCTGGGATTCGAACCCAGCTATCTGATTCGAAGCCAGCCAGTCCATGTTTTTAACCACTTCATTTTGCGGGGAACTGGGGCGCGTCAATTGTTAGGAAATCGAGGGCAAAGCCCAGGGCATGCTGGAGACACAGAAAACCCGGTCAAGGCGATGGGAGGACGTAGAGAGGTACCGTTTTCGGGCGCCCTCAGGCCCTGGGGGGTCGTGTCACAGGTCTGCTGAGAACCACCCGTGACGACCCGCGTCTAAGAGTCAAGTGAGGCATAGGAGCACGGACGTGAACCACAACGGACTGGGTTCCGGTCCCGGTTCTACCCTCAATGCCCAGGGCGACAATGGCACGGTTCGCCCGCGCGTTCCGCACGTTCATCGCGGGTAATACGGGTCTCCGCTCGGCCCCGAGCCAGCAGGCCCACAGGGCCCGGCCGAACCGGAGCCCGCGGCGGAGGAGCCAGCAGGGTGTGCCCCCCAGGCCCGGTCTCCGGACGCAAGGGCGGGCGGAGGCAGGCCGGCCAGCGTGTCCGTCCGCAGCAAACTCACCTCCCTCAACAGGCAAGGAAGGGCCGGCACCGGGATCCAAACTCCCCGCGCCGCGGCGAGAGCGCCCACACCGAATACTACCTCATCTTCGCGCCGGAAGTCTGGGGACTCCGATTGGCTGCGTCCCGAGAGAGCTGAGCAATAGCGTCTCCCCGCGGCATCTGTCCCCGCCCCTCTGGGCGGCTGGGGCGGGGTCGCCGCACGGCGGTGGGTGGGACACGTCATCCCGAAACCCAATTGGAATCCGGAGAGCGAGCGTCACGTGATCCTAGTAAGCCTCCGAGCTTCCGGCGTGAGTTGCGTGCTCTGTGTTTGCGGTGTTTAGTTACCGTAAAGTTGTTAGCTGAAACAGGGCCCTGGAGCCGCAACGATGGTGGGATTGAAAAACGCCCGCGTGGTTAAGAACACTTGTAATAGCAAAGCCCAGAGCAGCAGCGGATTTGGTTTTCTTTACTGCTGCCCCACTAGAACGTTAAAACAGGGCCTGCTACGTAATAAGCGTACTATCAATACTTGATCAATACATTAATGAAAGACTTAGAAGTGAGTTGATTTGGGTCATCGTGTGCTAAGTAAAATGAGTAGCCAACCCAATCTTAATTTATATTCTGGTGAAATTCTTAGAATTGAAGGAAAAAGACTTTTCCATAATTTCCTCCAGAAAATCAAAGATCAGATGACTTTCAGAACTCTTAATCATTAGAACAGCTTGCGGTGTCACACTGGAACAATGGAATCCTTAAGGAAAGAGTGTATCCCAGGATTCATGACACTGGCCTAGATGTCAACCATACTTAGGAGGGCCAGAGGAAATCCTAGGCCCTTGCATGGAATGCAGGGACTGGAGAAGGCATGAAAAGGGAGAGCAGTTCATTTATTCCTTTGGGTCTCCTGTCCCTCTGTTCTAGCAGGAGGACCAATTGTCAATGAATATGTGTGGGAAGTACTAGATCAGCCCTGTCCTGGATAGGGCCACTGGGAAGCCACAGCTTCACTTAGCTCTGATGGCCCAGCTTTGCAACATTACAGATCGCTTCGATCCCAGACCCTGGGAGCACAGGAGGCTTCTGATAAGCCCTGCTAGAAGGCTGGGTAAGCAAGATACACAGCTCAGGTGGGTCACAGGGGTCCTCAAACTTTTTTTTAAATCATTTTATTAGGGGCTCATACAACTCTTAATGCAATCCATACATACATCAATTGTGTAAAGCACATTTGTACATTCATTGCCCTCATCATTCTCAAAACATTTGCTTTCCACCTAAGCCCCTGGCATCAGCTCCTCATTTTTCTCCTCCCTCCCCACTACCCCCACTCAAACTTTTTAAACAGGGGGCCAGTTCACTGTCCCTCAGACCCGTTGGAGGGCCGGATTATCGTTTTTAAAAAAACTATGAACAAATTCCTATGCACACTGCACATATCTTATTTTGAAGTAAAAAAACGGGGCAAAAACACCCAGCAGGCCAGATAAATGTCTCGACAGGCCGCATGTGGCCCGCGGGCTGTAGTTTGAGGACCCCTGGTAGGGCTTAAGCATGAGTGGGATGGGCATAAGTCTAAGGAAGCCATTGCTCTAAGATATTCGAGGATGGTAAATCAGATGTAAGATGGTAGAGAGGAGTCAAGAAGGCCATGCAAAATAGCTAGGTTTATTACACTCCGGGTTCCAGAGACAGACAAAGCTTACCATGAATCAGGGCCACACCAAGGGCGGGTTGCATCCAGAGACAAGGTAACAATAAACTGAAATTATAGGAGATGACTTATGGCAAACATGATGGGGTCAGCAAGGTTTCCCAGAATTCCCAGGATTGGAGAGTGGGCATTCTGAATCATTTTCAGGCTCAGGAATATAAGGGTTATCCTTAAAAAGCCCCCAAACCAAGCCCACTGCCATCAAGTCAACTCTAACTCATGGTAACCCTATTGGGTTTCCGAGGCTGTACATTTTTAGCAGAACAAATAGCCTCATCTCTCTCCCATGGAGCTGCAACCAAGTACTTTGATAACTTTAAGACTCCTTAAAGTCCTATGAAGCACCTGGCCCCAGGGCTAGCAGGAGAGGTGCATAGTGACCTACCAGTGTAAACACCTGATAAAGCAATTAGTTGGAGAGTGAACTTAATTACTGCTCAAGGTAGCCAAAAATTTGACACAACACAAATGCTCATCAACTGATTGTGATAGAACCTACAATGAAATATTATTCAGTTACGATAAGGAACCTTAAAACCATTATGTTATAAAACAATATACCTACTATGGATAGTGTTATGATTCCTCCTCAAGAATCTAGAGCTAGAATACCATATGTTCCAGCAAGTTCCAGAAATATCTTATGTTCTAGACATAAGAGGATAAGTCAAAAAGTTGGGCATTTTCAATTTTAAGTGAACTCTTGATCCCAGCAAACTTTCAACTTGATGGATACCAAAAGCATTCTGAGAATATCAGTTACTAGGGGTACAGTTCACACACGTGCCGATTTGTTCCAAATAAAACATGTTTAAACATGTCTCTGAAATCAGTGGGTGGCTGCTGACAGGTTCTCTCAGTAATAGCTTTGTCTTAGTCTCATTAGATTGCCTTCCGAAAAAGAGCGGGGGAAGGTTACTTGGGGGGAAGAAACAACACCCCCCCCACACACACACACAATTCTGTGATCAAGGCTAACAGAAAAAATTTAACGAGACATAAATGGACATCTTCCCACATCACTGAAGCTTTGTTGCCCCACATAAAACAATTTTTATATGGATCAAGCATCTTCAGGAAGGTGGGGAAGATTTCAAGAGCGAATCAAGAGCAGAATTTTGATGATCAACCTCGATGATAAATGAAGAAATGGTGGCTGACGTCCAGAAACTGGTAGAAGGCCCATAGAAGTACCAATGATGCAATAGCTGCTCAAGTTGGGATCTCACTTGTTTTGGCAGTTTCAATTAAAGGGAACATCTGGACCTCGACAAGCTTCGACTTGATGAGTACCCAAAGCATTGTAGGAATATCAGCGAACTCAAAAGCTGATCTTTTTTCCAGTCTTTTAAGCAATGAAGGTGATTTCATGGAAGACATTCTAACTGGGGGCAGTCTTGGGTTTATGAATATGATCAAGAGAACAACATCTAATCAAAACAGTAGCTTCAAAGGGAATCTGCTGAGCCAGTTAAATATAAGGCAAAAAAGGTCAGCTCTGAAGGTTATGGTCACAGCTTTGGGGGTTTCCAGCAATGCAATCTTGTTAGTTTTTCCTCAAAAACCACAGGATAATCACTGGAGCTTATATTGAAGAAGTTTTAAAATGAACTGCCTTTGTGCAGGAACGGCCAGGAAAGTTGCACCAAGGAATTTCCCACCACAATAATACATTTGCCTATCCTTTGAGGGTACCAAGGGCTGTCCTATGAGAATTTCCCTGGAAAACCTTGTCTCATCTACACTACCGCCCTGGTTTTGTCTTTTCACACTTCTTTTTGTTTCCCAAACTCAAAGAATAGTTAAATGGAACCTGATTTGCGACCCTCAAGGATGCCACATTCCCATTGTCAGGTGGGGTAAATCAGAGAGTACAGAATTCTTAGGGGATGGGTTAGAGCAGTGGTTCTCAACCTGTGGGTTGTGGCCCCTTTGGGAGTCGAACGACCCTTTCACAGAGGACGCCTGATTCATAACAGTAGCAAAATGACAGTTCTGAAGTAGCAACAAAAATAATTGTTATGGTTGGGAGGCTCACCACAACATGAGGAACTGTATTAAAGGGTTGCGGCCTTAGGGAGGTTGAGAACCACTGGATTTGAGAGATCCACCTATAAAACCCACTGCCATCGAGTCAATTGCTACTCTTACTCTACTTTTTTAAGGCTTAGAGACCCTACAGGTCAGAGTAGAACTGAACTGCAGAATTTCTACCAGGCTGGACATTTTTTCCCAAATAATCTCTTCCCTTTTGCATTATTTATTTATTTAATCATTTTATGGACATATAATTCACATATCATGCAACTTAATCATTAAATCATATTAAGAAGAGTTGTGCAGTCATCACCATAACCAATTTGAGAACTCTTCTTGTACTCATTGTTAGTTCCTCATTTTCCCCCAACCTCCCCTGCCATGCCCCCTACCTATCCTGAAATTCATACACAGAATTCATACAGAACACCAACAGAAAGCATACAAACAAAAAACCCCAACAACAATGACATGACATAACAGAGAACAAAATCAATAGAAAAGAAAGAAGATATTTGAAACGGAAACGACTTTAAAAGGGAGATCATAATGATAGATGTTGTGCTTCAATCTAACTACATCTGCCATAATTTGCTTTACAATGCTCTCTGTCTGATAGCAAGGCTATTCATATCCCTGGACTATGGTCAGAGGGAATTCACTGGAGACTTAATGCATGTAGGGATCCTGATGGATTTTGAGCTTCCACTGTCATTCATAGAATTCTGCAAGACAGGTGTTCTAAATTAAGTTCTGATATCATTCCCTCCTTCAGATTTGGATTTTATTATTTATAATCCTTGGATCACATAGACTGGTGTGCTTCTTCCCTATGGATTTAGTTGATGCCTCATTTAGATGCCTGCTTGTTTTAAGATAAGCCTTTACCCCAGAAAGTATGCTTTCTGATAGCCAGTCACCATCTAGTTTCTTCACCTAGTTTCTTTGATATAGCACCTACATCTTCAGTGATCTCTTTATGATGGCGAACATCAAGCAGAGCTATGTTATATGAACTGATTGTTCTTAGGTTGGGATTAGAATTAACTCTACTCCCAAATCCATACATGTATCTCTATATATGTCTCAGCTTCACTTTAGAGACATTGTTATCATTTTATGATAGGAAATAGTACAAATCATCCCCCTGGAGAATAAGGTGACTCTACTGATAGTGTCATCTATTTAGCTAGTGGTATAAAATTAAAATCACTGTCAAGAAAAGGAAATTATACATGGATTGTTGGTTTGTACAGATTAAATGCTTAAGTGACTGAACATTATTTACACAAATAATGGGGGTTGGTGATCGGAGAAACCTTTCAATAACACTC